GTAAGCATTCATATTTAATATCCCATGTTATATGTTGTATTATATGTTTTAAGGTGAGTGATTTTAGTTTATTGTTGATAAATATGAAGGTTTTAGTTTTATTTGAGCTCATTGGATGACTTTGAGATATATGCTGAGTTTTCCAGAAAATCTAATACACGTTTTCCATCAATAGGAATGTTTAGTAACTATTGTTCCAGTCTTCAATAATTTAATCATAGGGTATTTGGATTTAAACATAGGGGCATTTGGATACATTTGTATATTTTTATAACAATGTTAGTTGTGATTGGTAGGAGAAGACTGACAATAAAATGCTTGTAACTATGAATGTAACTATGTTGAACAGTTTTTTAGGTAGGCCACATATGAACTGAATTTCTTTCCTGTAACCACAGAAATTAGCTAGATTCTCAAATCAACACAGTCAGTGTCCCTCCCATGGAGCTATTGAGTTCTCCTAGCGGGGGGTTAGGGAAGCTGGCCCTGCAGGGACAGTGATAATTGCTATTGGCTATACTAGCCGCTAGTGATAATCGCATATAAAATCTGGCAGGCTGGTTGTACCCAAGTTGATCGATCAGTGAACTTGGGTACATTCAGCCTGACCATACATGGTTCAAATCTTAGCCGGTTCCTGCTGAACCAGCTGAGATTCGAACTGTCTGTGGCCAGCTTTAGTCTAGCTGCAGTGAAATTGCAGTGTATTAGCAGAACCATCCACTCAGCTTAGATATCTCAGTTGAGATATTTATAGAGACACAGGTGTGACTATTCATTCAGATATATGGACTGCGTTTCTGTACATTTCCTCACTCTATTATCAAAGGAGAAATATAGCAAAAGCTACAGTATTTTGGCTATGCTTCTCATGTAGGTCACAGGAGTCCTGTGACCCTTGTTCAGCCACTAAAGTCCCCTGTCAGCTGACGTCACTCAGCCTGTCCAGGCTCTAAAAAGATCCCGACCATATAGTCAGGATCCATCCAGAAGCCTGGGCCAGCACCTGACTCAGCTTCTCAGTGATCCATCAAGAGCATAAGCCAGCCTGAGCCAGCCCCTCCCACCCCCTCCACAGCACGGCACTCCAGTGAGAGCTGGAGGGGCAGAGCAGAGATCCAGAGACCGACAGTCATGAACTGTGGGAAGAACTGAGTGATCAGCGGTGTTTGATTGCTCAGTTGTCACTACAGAGCCAGTGGGGGACAGATGCAGCATTGTATGATGCTGCATCCACCTAGGTCAGTATAAATGTTTGTTTTTTTTTTAGCTCCATACTTCTCTTTTAAGCTCCTTTGGTGGAGCGTTAGGGTGGTTATTGCGCCTGTCAGTCCACCTTTTTTGCTTCAATAAATTTATACTGGCTTTTATTATAAGTGCCTGTCTTCTCTTTTATGCTGGATCAATTCGTTGGATGTTCAGTGCCTCCCAGCCTGTTCCTATGGCTGGGAGCGAGGAAAAAAACCTACAACCTGTAATGAAGCACAACTTTCTCAAAGCCCACTCTCCCAGATGGATATTTATTTTTTGCCTATGAAGAATGCAACAGGAGGTGCTAGAACACACAAAGGAGGATGGGAACACACAAAACTCTAAGGTGGGCAGGAACAGAATTTGGAATTATTGCAGGGATATCTCACTGTTGGAGTATCCAAGGCACATAGGAAGTCAGAATCCCACCAATCTCCATCTGTAACCAAAATATTTCTAAAAGGTAGACAAACATTTTAATAAATAGCAGCGTGAAGCTACAAAAACACTCAAATGTAAAAAAACTCAGTTGTTCTCTATGGTGCCTGTTCACACCATTTGCGTGGTCAGGTGTGAACAGGCACCATAAAAACAATTGTTTTGTTTAGGTTTGAGTGTTTGTGCAGCTTCAAGCTACAAAACACTAAAATGTGAATGCAGCCTAAGATTAAATGCATGCAAAGCGCAGGGTACAAGAATACATAATACACAGATGCAGGGATCAGGAATATATAACACACAGAAAGTACAAAATGCTTGGGTCAGGTGTGTGCAATCTGTAGGGGTCAGGTATACAAAATGAAAAGAGTGCACAACCCCCCCCCCCTCCCCAAGCTTACACATTCCACTTTCTAGCACAAATCCTCTCTCCCTAAATCCCTCCTCTCCAGCACAAACTCCCTTCCTTCACAAATTACCCCCAGTGCAACCCCCTCCCCAGCATATATTCTCCATTCTTCCAGCACAAATCCTTCCCCTAGCACGACTATACATTCTAACACAAATCCTCTTCCCACCAGATCCTCCCCTCTTAGCACAACTCTCCTCCCCCCAAATTCACCCTTCTAGCACAAATCTTCTACCCCTTTTCCCCCAAATTATCCTCCCAGCTCGAATGCTTTCATCCCCGGCACCATTCTTAATTGTTTACCCTCCAAGGTCAGTTTGTCTCCCAGTACAATTTTCCCCCTTCCTGAATTTACTGACCTGAAATACAGCATGGCATGAAAGACATCTTTCTTCCAGGTTCCTCCTCATGTGGGATGGGGCACACCAAAGACAAGGAAGAGCTTAGAGGAAGCTCTGCTGAAGTCTGTGACAGACCCAGGGGCAGACTGACAACTCATGGGGCCCCTGGGCAATAGGGGATCATGGGGCCTCTGTGTCCTTGCCCAAACTCAAAAAAGCCTATGAAAAAGGTACCAGGGGCATCTCATGGTGCCCCCTACTGACCCCGGGCCCTTGGGCAGTGCCCAAGTTTCCAAATGGTCAGTCCGCCCCTGGACAGACCCCAACAGAATGTGTTCATTTTGCAGAACCCAGAGATCACAGTTCATATTCCCGAACCAAGAGGTATGGCAAAACGGTAATGCTTAGTAGGTGGAAAAAAATGCTCTAGTGTCAGTGGTCAATAGAAGGAACAATTGCCTTGTGCATCAATAGTCTGTAGGAGACAAAATAGCCTGTCAGTCAGTAGGAGGGAAGAAAAACAGCTCCACAATGGTGATTAGTGGGAGAGTGGGGGAATGATCTGGTGTCAGTGATTAAAAGAGAAAAATGACCTGGTGGTAGTGGTTAGTAGGAGAAACAAATGCCTTATCAATGGTCAATAGGAGGCAAAAATGCATCATCAGTGGTCAGCAAGAGGACACAATGCCTCCTCAGTAGTCAGTAGGCGGAAAAATGCCCTGGCATCAGTGGTCAATAAAAAGGAAAAAATCCTGGCATCAGTGATCATTGTTAGGTAAAAATGCCCTTAAGTGGGAGGAAGGATACTCCAGTGTCACCAGTCAAAAAGAGAAAGAAATGCCCTGACATTGCTTTCAAAGGGAAGAAAAATGTTAGAATCTCCGAAGGGAGCTGGAAGGCTCTGCAGAGCTTTGGGTGGCACTGTGGGGGATTCGTTGGAAGCTCAGGGACCCTGCAGGAGGCTGAGATCTGTGCAGCAGGATGAGGAGTGCTCTAGGAGAATGGGGGCAATATGGGGGAGCTCTGCAGGGAGATGGGGCTCTGCAGCAGGTTAAAGGGCTTGGTGGAGGACTTGTTCTCTGTGGGTGGATAGGCTCTTGGACAGGCATGGGGGCACTGTGGGGAGCTGGAGACACTGCAGAAAGCTATAGGACCACCTAGAGAAGCTAAGAGTCTTTGCAGAAGGCAAAGTGGTAGGAATAGCCTCTGTGGCTGGCAGGGGAAAATGTGAGGGGAAGGGGATCTCAGGAGGAGGGCTGGGAAGCACTATAGAGGCCTTGCACAGAGTATTATAGATAGCACTGTACTGTAAGGGGTTGTGGAGGAAGTAGGGGAAGATTGTATTGTAGAGGGTTTGAACGGGAGGCACTTGCAAGGAACAGTGTGCAACAGAGAATGCTCTCCCCACCCCCTCCTCTTCCCCATTTACTGTTCAAACCTGCTGTCAGTATAGATGCACAATCTGAATCTCACTGGTTGCATGCCCTGGAGGGAAGAATAGGACCACATTCCTTGGTAGGTGCCTGTGCTGATTAGATGTCTTTAACCCCAGGCCCGATAGCTACTGTGTGGCTGCTATGGTGGTAGTTACTCTGGTGGTCTTTATGAGAGCGTCCTATTCTCTCTGCTAAAGTGTAATTTATTTTGAAAGTATGGAAAATGTAATAGGATGTGCTAAAACACAAAAAGTTAGGCGAGAACACCCACAACATCAGGTTGGACAATTATGGCAGGAAGGTCCCTTTCTTGCGTTATTGAAGACAAATAATAGGGCATAGGATGACTTAGTATATTGGGCTCCACATAAATTTAAAGTAACACTTTTGGGTGGACTGAACTTTTTTTTTTTTTCATTTTGAGCATATTTTGTGCACATACCTGTTGCAATATAGGTGGTTGATTTACCAAGGCAAACAGGCTGTTCACTATTCAAGGGAATTGTCCCTCAGCTTTATGAATGCGGTGAAAATTCACTTTGCAAAGAATAACTAATGAAGAGCATGAAAAACAAAAACAAGTATTTGCTTACACATCATTGGATGATGGGACATCAGCAAAGTTTCACCTCCTTCACTAAGCTAAGGGGAACCCCCTTGCAAAGTGAACAGCCTATCCACCTTTATTAAATAACCTCAAAGTGGATGATGTTTTGATTTATTCTATGTACATTTTTATTGAGATTAGTCTGGGGGATGATAAAGAAGTAAAAATTAAAACCTCGCTTTGTTCATATTCAGGTTGTAGTGACTAGTTTAACCACTTGCCTACCAGGCACTTTCCCCCCTTCCTGCCCAGGCCAATTTTAAGTTTTTAGCGCTGTTGCACTTTGAATGACAATTGCGTAATCATGCAACCCTATACCTATATGAAATTTTTATAATTTTTTTTCACACAAATAGAGCTTTATTTTGGTGGTATTTAATCACCACTGGGGTTTTTATTCTTTGCATTGTAAATGAAAACAGAGCAAAAAATTTGAAAAAAGGGTTTTCTTTGTTTCTATTATAAAATTTTGCAAACAGGTAATTTTTCTCCTTCACTGATGTGTATTGATGAGGCTGCACTGATAGGCAGCACTGATGGGCACTGATGAGGTGGCACTGATTGGTAGCACTGATGAGGTAGCGCTGATGAGGCTGCAATGGTGGGAATTGATGAGGAGGCAATGATGATGTATTGATATGCAGTACTGATGGGCACTGACTGGTGGCACTGGCTGATAACATCGACTGGAGGCAATGACCGGTGGCACTGATATTTGGCACTGCTGGGCAGCACTGATAATCAGGGCACTGATTATCAGTGCCTTGATTATTGGTGCAGATCTGCCCTATCACATTTGCCGATTATCGGCAGTACTTTCCCCGCGCTGTCACAGCGGCAACTGTAACCGGCAACTGTATTTACATTGTGATCTGCTGTGTCATTGGACACAGCTGATCACGTGGTAAAAGTCCACTGTGATTGGCCTTTTACCTTATCACCGACAGCGCCGGGTGCATGCTGCTGGGTGCATGTTCTGGGAGGACGTCCATGGACGCCCTCCCAGAACTGGACAACCGTGTTGTAGCCGTCTTTCGGCTATAGTGCGATTGGGAAGCAGTTAAAGTGGTAGTAAACTTGTTTTTTTTTTTATTTTGCCTACAGGTAAGCTTATAATAAAGATTGCCTGTAGGTAAAATGAATATCTCCTAAAAGTGCACCGGTTGGGAAATATTTGCTCTTTTTGTAAGCTGGCACATGCGCTCTGAAGGAACAGTATACCCGTGCTGTTCCTTCAGAGCCTCTGTGCCATGGCCTGGGACTCCCGCATGCATGCACTGGAGTGACATTATCGCGGTCCAGCCGGAGCTCGTGAAGCCAGAAGGAAAATCGGGTGAAGATGGCTGAACAGCATGCCGCTGGAGGGCTTTGTTTTAAGGTACGTTTTACATAATGTGCTAATATGTGATGCATACTAGCACATTATGACATTACCTTTCCGGGGACTTTTTTTTTTCCTGCTGTTTACTACTGCTTTAATCAGAGTATCTGAAAATTAAACTACCCAAATACAGTAAATGTGCTTCATTCATCATGTGCTCCATACAGTAGGATATATCAAATAAATAGTGTACTATGTTTTATAAAATAAACAAGTAAAGCAGTATACTAAACTAGTTTAGCTCTTGCAATTAATTGTAAAGAAAAATAAGATTAGCCAGAGTGTGAACTCTTCACTCAAAAATAAGTAGCTAAACAGCTTATCTTCATAAATAATACATTTATTGGGCAGGGAAAAGCTGCTTAAGAGATCAGATGTAAATTCCTTTCCTTTCTCACTGGCAATATCCACTGAAGAATGTGTGATATTGTAGCCCTGCAATTTCAGAATATTTAAAACAGCAACTTTCACAATGGAGCTGCAAATGCATACATCAGTTTAGTTGAAGTTATGAATATCCAAGTAATAATAAAGGTATTATACCATCACAAATGATGCATACAATTTCCATTGTGCATTCATTTTCATGATCTAGATTAATACCAGATTTGTCATATACAGTAGAAAATTTAAGTACACCCCTACATTTACCACCACTTCAAATCCATGAAATTACAATCTGGTGTTGAAAATTAGGTGGCAATGATGAGGGCAATGATTCGAGTTTTTAGGCGTAACCTATATGTTTTATGCAGGCCATAGATGGGTCGAAAATCGGCCGATTTTTCGGCCGAAAATAAAATCGGCCGATTTTCGGATCGTTAGTGGGCTATTTGTTCGGCCGTTTTTCGGTATTTTGGCAGTTTTTTTTTATCGGTAAAGTTGGAAAAAAAATCGACCGATTTTGCCGGTCAGCCGATTTTCGCGGCAATGATGGGCAAATCGGCTGATTTTTTTACCAATAAAAAATCTGCGCATGAGCAGTGACCTGCAAGAGAAAGACAAAAAGAAGAAGAGGAAGAAGAAGAAGAAGAAGAAGAAGAAGAAGAAGAAGAAGAGAAGAGGATGAAGAAGAAGAAGAGGATGATGATGATGAAGAAGAAGAAGAAGAAGAGGATGAGGATGAGAAGATGATGAAGAAGAAGAGGATGATGATGATGAATAAGAAGAAGAAGAGATGATGATGATGAAGAAGAAGAAGAAGAAGAAGAAGAAGAGGATGATGATGCTGAAGAATAAGAAGAAGGGGATGATGAGAAGAAGAAGAAGATGAGAGGATGAAGAAGAAGAAGAAGAGGAGAAGAAGAAGAAGAAGAAGAGGATGATGATGATGAAGAAGAAGAGAATGAAGAGATGATGATGATGATGATGAAGAAGAAGAAGAAGAAGAGGATGATGATGAAAGAAGAGGATGATGATGATGAAGAAGAAAAAGGATGATGAAGAAGAAGAACAAGAAGAAGAGGATGATGATGATGAAGAAGAAAAAGTAGAAGAGGAAGAAGAAGGATGAAAAATAAGAGGAATTCCAGTACGGCAAAAAGTGTCCCTGCAGAGAGCTCCGCTATTTCTTTGACAGTTCTTTTAACAGTTCCTTGACATTTACAGCGGTTGCAACATTGTATCTATTTCCAAATAAAAACATCTGTATCCTAAATGGATACAAATAGATACATTGTTGCAACCGCTATAAATGCCAAAGAACTGTCAAAGAAATAGCAGAGCTCTCTGCAAGGGACACTTTTTGCCGGCTGTAGATGGGATGAAAATCGGCCGATTTTTTATACCATTGCTGGTAACATCGGCCGCTTGAACGACCGATTTTTCGTTTTTTTTTAAAAGAAAAATCGGCCGTTTTTCTCCCCGTCTATGGCCTGCATTAAACCTCAGATATTTAGGGTCTCACATACCACAGTTATATGCTGTTGATGTGTATGGTGTCATAATGCCAAAAAGTACATTAGCACAAAACTGAAGTTTGCTGCTGAACATATTGGCAAATAGCAAAGAGCAGACCTTCTGGAATAATGTGCTGAGGACTGGTCAGTGAAAGAAAGAATTCTTTGGTTACAGTAACAGTAAACATGCCTGCCACAAAACTAAAGCCACTTCAGGAGAAGAACCTTGTAAGCAGGTGCTTACAAGTTGTTAGTTTTATGTATAGAGTTAGTTAATACATCAAGCTGCCCTGTTGTGCAAAGGGATGAAACTTGGTGCAGAATTTTCCTGGGCTTTCACGGGCACTGCCCTCCACCCTGTGTTGCTATAAAAAGGGGGAAGGTTCTGCTCAGGCACGCTGGGCCATGGCCTGGATGGGAAGTGAGACCAGAGATGGGAAAGAAGATCTAATCCACAGCAACCCACAGGGCACCCTCAAGGGGAACTACACCTAGGGCCAGGACTCTGCCAAACACAGACTTTAAGGACTCTTACATTGGGGAAGGTATGCACTGCAACTGTAGCCTGAAGTTAGATAGTGTTGGAATACAGAGTTTATGTATTTTGTGCAACAACTACATCAGTATTCAGTAGAGATATATTCTTCAACCAGTAGAAGTTTGTAGCTGCATCTATGATAAATTCTATCTCTTTTCTATGAATAAATGTTTCCTGTTTCCTGGTTGCAGTGAAGCAGAAAAGCACACGTGGACTGTGCACTGTCTGCTCTATAGGTCTATATTTGGAATTTCTAACAGACAGGTAAGGAAAGACTTAAGCTGTATGTTCTTTATGTTGCTGGACTGTACTGTTGAGATATTCAGTAAAGTTTATTAGCTGTTGGGTGTAGCCGGGATGTGAGCTAAGTAAGGCTCACAGTTCGAGAGCTCCGTACTGACAATCAGCCTGCATTCATCCTGACAGTGCCTGCTGCCATTTTTTCTATTCGAGGACCCAGCTCTTACCCGCTGTGTCTCTCCGTTCTGCGTCTGACTCCTCCTATGTCACCCACCAAGCCTTGTGCCACCCGCACTCCAGTCACTACTTCCATACCACTGCTGCGGTGGCCATCTTGGTTATGAGGTCTCCGAAACTCACCATATCGGCAAGCACTCAAACCACCTCTCCTACCGACCACGGAACCCTCCTCAGCAGATATCCTGGGCGGCTATCACAGCCTGCAAAGAGACTCTTACCGCAAAGACTGAATATGTCTCCACCGACATCAGCTTAATAAGAAATGATCTGGATAAATTTCACTCTCTTGGAGGCCGAAGCTAGACTTTCACAGGTGGAGGATGAAGTACGCTCGGTCTCCACAGAACTTCACACCCTACAAAGGCAAGTTAAAGCCCTGCAAGAGAAGGCAATTGATACTGAAAACTGCCTCTGCCGTAAAAACCTAAGAATTCTTGGCCTTCCAGCGAGGGGGCAGAAGGAGCGCATCCTGCTGAGTTTGGTCCTGCTCACCACTGCCTTAGGCCTACAAAAACCTCCCACCTACATTCACAGTGGAGTGGGAACACCGAGTGCCTCCTACCCTTCCCATTCCTAGGGCGCCACCGTGTCCATTTCTTCTCTGACTCCTTAATTATAGGGACCGTGACATGATCCTGGCAGCTGTCAGAACCAAGCCTGACATCTGGCACGATAAATGCAAAATTCCTAATTTTCCCAGATTATTCACCTGAAGTACAGCAACGGAGAAGCACATTCACTGAGGTGCACAAGCGACTGTGGGATAAGGGAGTTAAAAACAGTTTCCTCTTCCTGAACAAGCTGCGGATGATTGATGGGACAACAAATCTTTTCTTTGATTCCGCAGAAGCTGCGGCAACAACGTTAGACGCCCGCTAGTACTCATAAAGAGCAAAGCCATTTCCTATAATGCTACATGGTGGAAACCTTTTGAGGAGGGTCGCTTCCATTGCTCTACTCAAGAACATGTTTCCCATTATCACCTTACTGATATCTACATCTCTTCAACAGCACTGCAGGCGCTCCAATTACTGGAGCTCATCTGTTTGGCAAAGACACCTTCTGCAAGTTTTATCTAGTTTTAGGCTTTTTTTTTCTCACCTATTGTTCCTCTGTTTTGTCATTAAGAGTGGGTTCTTCACAAGACTAGGAGTATTACTGTGCCTGTCTTGCCTTTTGGCCCGACACAGAGTTGCACCTGAACTCCCCTGGGGAACTGGTTTAACAAGACTAAAGTTTAGTACAGTTAAGGGAGCAAAACCACTGCTTCTTTTACCTAGTTTTTTGGTCTGTGGG